GTTAAAAAATGGCGCCATTACCTTTGGGGGCATAAATTTATCATCCGTACAGATCAAAAAGCACTAAAGTACTTGCTGGAGCAGAGAGTGGTTGATGAGAACCAGCAGAAATGCGTGTCAAAATTAATGGGCTTCAAGTTTGAGATTATTTACAAGCCCGGAAAAGAGAATAGGGCTGCTGATGCCCTATCCAGACGAGAAGAATCACTAGAACTAATGGGGTTCTCATTATGGCAATATAATGATGTGGAAGAATGGGAGAAGGAGGTGCAAGCAGACCCGAAACTGAGCAAAATTCTACAGCAACTCCTAACTGATAAAACTGGGGTGGAAGGGTACAGCTTAGTTCATGGCTGCCTACACTATAAAGAGAGGTTAGTCTTACCAAAAAATTCCACCAGAATTCCCTTGTTATTGAAGGAATATCATGATTCTCCAATAGGGGGGCATTCGGGCTACTTACGCACCTACAAGAGGCTATCCAATGTGGTGTATTGGGAAGGAATTAAAAGGGATGTTCAGCAATATGTGGCGAGTTGTGAGATTTGTCAAAAGAATAAATATCAAGCGCTAACTCCTGCTGGTCTGTTACAGCCGTTGACCATTCCTCAAAACATTTGGGAAGACATTAGCATGGATTTCATTACCGGGCTTCCTAAATCCAAAAGGGAAGACACCATTCTAGTGGTAGTGGATAGACTCACCAAATATGCTCATTTTTTCACTCTTGCCCACCCTTTTTCTGCAAAAGATGTTGCTGAAAAGTTTGTGAATGAGGTTGTGAAGTTGCATGGTTTCCCTAAAACCATAGTTTCAGATCAAGACAGAATTTTTATTAGCCAATTTTGGCAAGAATTGTTCAAGCAAGCTGGAACCCAACTTTGCCTTAGCTCATCGTATCATCCGGAAACGGATGGACAGACGGAAGTATTAAATAGGAGTTTGGAGACTTACTTGCGCTGTTTTGCTAATGAAAAACCAACTCAATGGGCTAAATGGTTGTCTTGGGCGGAATATTGGTACAATACTTCATTCCACAGTGCGGCTGGCATGACACCTTTCAAGGCGGTATATGGCCGGGATCCACCCATATTTCTGAAATTTAGTGGCGAACCTTCAGTTGTGGAAGATGTGAATGAACAGATTCAAGCTCGAAATCAGATCATTGAACAATTAAGGGACAATTTAGCTAAGGCTCAAAGTAAAATGAAGGCCCAAGCTGATAAGCATCGCCGGGACGTGCAATTTGAGATTGGGGACTTTGTTTATGTGAAGCTTCGCCCTTATCGACTAAAGACCTTAGCCAAGAGGAGCAATGAGAAGCTCAGCCCACGTTTTTATGGACCTTTCAAGGTTCTTGAGAAGATCGGAACAGTGGCCTACAAGCTGGAACTTCCAACCACCGCCCGCATTCACCCTGTATTTCATGTTTCTCAGCTCAAGCAAACGGTTTCAGCTGCTATGGCACAGCCTACCATCCCTCCGATGCTTTCTAATGAGTTTGAATTACAAGTGCAGCCTCAAGATATTAGGAAGGTGCGCCGGCTTATGAATGGACAGCGAGAAGTGTTGGTTAAATGGCAAGGCTTACCTGAATTTGAGAACTCTTGGGAATGTGCAGAAACAATTTGCACACAGTTTCCAACTTTTCCCCTTGAGGACAAGGTGGAGCTCTTAGGGGAGGGTGATGATAGGGCCCGTTATTTTCTTAAGACATATCAGAGGAAGTCAAAGGGGAAGAATAACTCTAGTGGAAATACTTGAACCAGTCTAGAAGTTTACCCTTCAGTCCATAGCCGTAAGGAACAGTATTTTGTGATCTTTTGTAATGATTGGGATCTTTTGGGTAGTATGGGCGATGTGTCAGTCACTGAAGGTATTAGTAGTCTTTTGTTTAGGAAGGGAGGGCTAAGAAGAAGAAGAAGGAGACTGGAATAGTAAGGAGAGATTGGCCTCTCGAATGCCAATGGGAGTGAGACTCTTGTATGGAAGCTTGTAATCTGTGTTGCTAGAGTGTTTTATCATCTTCTAGGGGAAATAGGGTTTTGGGCCAGAATCAGAGTTCCCATGTACATCTGATTCGGTTATTCATCTCATTAATATCAAAACCTAAGTATTTTCCTCTCATATTAATTGCTGTTGCTGTCTTATTTATTACTCTTTGCTGTGATTCTGGTTTGGGACACATTACTCTTAAACACCCGTTTATTGCCGTGGATGTGGCCAATCTCTTGATGGATAATGTTGCTAAGTTACATGGCTTTCCTAAGTCAGTTGCGTTCGACAGGGATCCCATTTTCTGTGGCAAGTTTTGGAAAGAGCTCTTTTGTTTATATGGGGTCTAACTACAGTTTTCCTTGGCTTACCATCCCCAAACCAATGGTCAAACCGAAATGCTCAATCGTTGCTTGGAGTGTTACCTTCCTTGTATGATGGGTGATTTTCCAAAACAATAGGTCAAATGGCTGCCCTTAGCTGAGTTATGGTACAATACCACTTTCCATTCTTCAATTGGGATGTCTCCCTTTGAAGCCGTATATGGGGTTCCACTCTCAACTCATCTGCCCTACATTGCTGGAGATTCTCCTAATGAGGTAGTTGACAGAACTTGTATTTCTAGGGAGCTTACCGTCCAACTCCTGAAACAGCACTTATTGAAGGCTCAACACCGAACCGTCTAGCAAGCCAACAAACACAGATCTGAACGCAAGTTTGCTGAGGAGAACACGGTCTTTCTTAAGTTGCACCCCTTTAGGAAGAACCTTTTGAACAATTCTCCCTTGCATAAGTTGGTTGCATGCTACTTTGGACCCTTCAAGGTAGTAAAGCGAATAGGTGCGGTTGCATATGAGCTGGATCTCCCTCTTACCACTAGGGTGCATCCGGTTTTTTATGTCTCTTTGCTAAAAAAATATGTTACCCCTACTGTACCCACCAGTCCTACCTTGCCTTCAGTGGATGAGCAGGGTCAGTTTATGCTGGAACTAGAGGAAATATTGGGCTGCAAGCTCATTAAGCACCATAATCTACCAGTGATACAAGTTTTGGTTCGCTGGAAATTCTCTCAACCGGAAGATGCCACTTGGGAAGACCTCTCAGCTATCAAAAACCAATTTCCACACTTCAACATTGATGCTCCAACTTCTACCACTATCCTTGTGGACAAGGATGCTTTTTAGGGGGAGAGTATTGTTATATGTTACTGCTTTTATAGAGGGCTTTATCGTTTTTATGCATTATGTTGCTGTGTTTTCTAATTATTGCTGAATCTTAGGATAGTATTGACAGTCTAGGACCCTCATTTCTTATGGCACGTGTCTAGGGTAGAATATATATCGTGTCTTGTCCCTCTAGCCGATTTTTTCTCGTCTATCTTCTTCCCTCTAACAAAATCCCTTTTAATATGTGCAATTAATGGGGGTAGTTTGGGGAAAAATATTAAGTTGGGAGACAATAGATTTAAATCTTATATTTAGGACCAAATCAAGCTTCTACATTTAGGATCGGAGGGATTTTCCCCCCCACATTATTCTTATTAATTCATAGTTTTTCTCATTCTCCTTGTCTCCTACATTCAATATCCTCACGAAAAAGAGGTATTTTAGGTAAAGGGATGCATATTTTTTACATAGTAATGGAAAAAAACCAACTTAACCGATTTTCTTAATTTCCATGAATTAGTTGATTAGGTGTTATATTTAGAATTGGAGGGAGGAGAGTTAAGGACCTATTAATTTTCATTCTGGAGATTCGACCCTTTTTGAATTATTGTTTCAATTAGGATTATTTGTATGGGAATACAACCATGAGAACTCACTTGAGAAGTGCCATCTTGGTGGCTTTTGTTAAAACACAAACCAGAAGACTGAGGATGTAGATTTTCCTCATGAACAGCATGTGATTGTCTCTTGGTTTCACCTTTTTAGGATGTGTTTGAAAGTTTCCAAATTCCCAAAGTGTTCAAAAACTGTCCGGGGGAAGCTGATCTAACACATCTCAAGAGCAACACAATACTTGCCGCTTCAAACTCCACAAAGCCAAAGCTGAATACTTTTTGGTTTTGATTTGGATACCATCACTCTTGATGGGTCCAAACTTTTGGAACAAATCTTCTGGTAAGGGAGGAGTAGCGTTAAGAAGAAATACCTTATACAAAAATAGAGCAGTCATCTTCATTTTCATTCTTGCTCTTGTTCTCGTTGGCATTTGTACTAGAATTATTGGTTTCAAACATATTGGGAGATGGGGGTCTAATAGTTGTCTATTTCTCTTGGCTCTAAGGCACATATCCTGATCTTTTCCAAAATATTGGTTTGTAATATCAGTTTGAGTCTTCTCAGGTGCTAACTGCTGGACATGGGCCTCAGTTCACTTATTTTAGAGAGAAGCCCGAGAATCCAGTGAAGGGCAATTGAGGTATTTTGTGCATGGCTGTTAGAGGTGAGAGAATGGGTGGGATGTAGAAAGGGCGTAGGTTTGCAGAGAGAGGTAGAGAAGATTCTGTTTAGTTTATTGAGGGAGCCCGTGCCTCTCAAATGCATAGGAACTGTGACTGTTTCCTGCTTGTGAGTTGTGATTAGTGTATTCCTCCATTAGACCTACAGTCTGTGAAGGGTTTTGTGATAAACTGGCTGACATCAACCTCTGGAAGCCTTTGCTTCTTGCACACCACATCACCTCATAAAAGATGATGTCTAGTGTAATAAATTGTGTTTGACGATAATATCTACCACTTCTCTTGCAGCATTCCAACATGTTTTCATCTCCTACAGCATCAATTGATCCAATTATATTCAAATTAATTTTATTAATTTTCAGTCTCTTTTTCTAATGGATTGTTTGGCAGACATTCTTCTAAAATGTTTGTAGTCCATGAATATTAGTATTCTGTTCATACAGTCCTACTGATTATTCTCCCAGCCTAACATCCAGATGTCATGGGCAAATTTTTTTTTCCACTTAGTTTGTTTATACCAACTTCTAACATATTTTTGGGCCAGATTTATCATATTCCTCTGGTGAGACTATTCTTGAGAAGGAATTTTCCAACTTTGGCGAGATAGCTGATGGTATGTCTCGAGTTTTAATACTACTCTATCAATTTTCAGTACTTTTAAAGTGTCCATCTGGAGTCATGTTATTTCCTTTTTATTTTTTGGCAGTTAAAGTTGTTAAAGATACCACAAAAAGATCTAAGGGATATGCTTTTATTCAGTACACCTCTCAAGATGATGCAATGCTTGCAATAGAAAACATGGATCAAAAGGTTTGATTTTCTTACTATTCTTCCTCATTTTAGTTTACGAAATAATGAAAATTAGGTCTTTAAAAATAGGGATTAGGTGCAGTTAGGAGTATGTTCAGTCTTGTGCAACTTTGTGGGTCTTTAAATCTTCCCCTTTGTCCTGAGAGAGGGGACGCTGTAGTATGGAAATTGAGACTGGTGAGAAGAGTTCTGGCCTCTCAAATGTGAGGTTGGGGGTGGGGGAAGATCCTCTTTCTCCATCATTTTGCCATGAAAAGGGATTGTCTAGTTTTAAAGAGAGTAGAGGCTCTCCTAAGCCAAATGAACCTCAAATTGTCTTTTATCACTTCCTCCCGCCAAGTTATAATGGCTTCTGACTTGATTTTGAAACATTTTCACTTTTCTTGTAAAACTGTATAAGATGGCTAGGTCATTTTGCAGAAGCACTAAAAAATCTACCAAACCCATTTTCAGTCACATTTTTAGTTCTCAATGATAGTGAAAACGAGAAACAGAAGATATTAAAAAAATAAAAAAATTAAACAAGCTCTTAAATGTTCTGGCTTTTATATCTATAGGTATTAGATGGGCGGAAGATTTATGTTGAAATAGCAAAACCTGGGAAGGATGCTTTTCATGGCCACCCAAAGACCTCAGGCCCCCCAAAGGAGTGGCAGAAACCAGATCAAGAGGAAGTGGTGGATTGCTGGTACTGATCAAAATTATAAATGATGGAATGGAACAGTAAGTTATGAAACCACTACTTTATTGATTGTTATGATTATAGTAATTACTTAGAAGTAGTGACTCTGAAAACTGGTTTTTATGGAAGTGAGAATGATCAATCTTGATTCAAAAGGTTATATGCATGAGATGCCATTGATATTGATTGGCAAATATCCTTATGCTTGGTAGGTTATTCAACCATACCTACGCAATCTCAAATTATTAATCATGTTTTTTTTTTGGGTGTGGTAACTACATTATTGACTTAAAAAATGAGGATCAGATTTTGTCAAATGTGTTTTCAGTTCATTTGCTCCTCCTGCATTCACATTCTTCAAGAAATAAAATGGTTCAGGTGAAGTGATTTTTAAAATGGATTATAAAAGAGGAAAAAATAGCATACTTCTTAGTCAACAATATAATAATAGCTTATAACTAGCCTAGAGCCTGTTTAGTTTGCAAAATAGAATGAAATGAAAAAAAAAAAGAAATGAAATGAAAACGAATTCATGAATGAAAAATCTCACTCGTGCTTTTGATTAAAAACATGTAATGAAAAACTATGGTAATGCAAATTAGGATGTATCATATGTCTTGATTTTTGTGCAAGAAAAAAGGATTGGTTCAACCAAGCATATCTTTGTATTTACATGTCAGACTAGATAGCCAAGCCAGAATTATATATTTTCCATCTTTGTCATGAATATGCTATAACCTATGAACCTCTTCAGTCTTCACAAACATAGGAAACAATAATTTTCATCACCACATGCTGAACATAATCTAACTCCTTTAAGATACCAAAAAAGAGGAAAAATAAAATTATTTACTCTTAGCTACTTAATTTCAGGTTTCCCAATCATATATTGCCATGTGGATTTTTTTTACGAGTCCTCGTTCATTCCAATAACTCTAAAGGTGTGTTTGGATTTATGGAGATTTTGATTTGAATCAAATCCCTTATTTGGATACGTTAAAAATTATGGAGTTGGATTTAATTCAAATCCAAATCCATTTCTTATTATATTTCTTATATAAAGCTCAATCTACTTGTGAAAATGCAACCTGGTTCTTGTGTGAATGAGGTAGATAGAAACACAGGCTTCTCGCTAGACAACTAGTTCACACAATGGCTTACTCTAGTTCTTGCGAGAATTGGATAATAGAGGTAATGACCTCTCTAGTTGCTTGTTCTTGCATGGGTAGGATTCAATTCTTGCGAGAATTGTTGGACAAATTTTGGAACACAAGACTTAGGATTTTTCATGAAGTGTTCAAGGGTTTTTATAAGCTCTCTAATGTAAACTTGAGAATTTCAAAAGGATAAACTACTTCTCGTGTGAAACAATTAGTTCTTGTGAGAACTTGATTGGGTAGAACTCAAGTTGTTATTGGAACTCTTATTCTCATGAGCAATACTCCTACTTCTTGCGAGAATTAGAAGTCTATATTCAAGGTTACCATTGTCACTCCACTTCTCGCGTGATGTAGTTGGGCACAACCAAGCATCATTTTGGAGCTCAATTCTTGCATGAATCAAATTGATTCACCCATGAATGAGCAAATAGAATAGGATGCCATTTTAGAAGTCTAGTTCTTGCCATAACACCATCTAGTTCTTGCGAGAATGGGTTCAACGGGTACAAAGGTATTGTAAGGCATTTCAACTAAATCACATGTCACTAGCTATTTCTCGCAACAATAGACATGAAACACCATGAAATGCTTTCTCTCTTTCTTTCTTTTTTATATTTTTTTAGTACAAATAAAAATAAAGGAGATATTCAGAATTGTACTAACTATAGAGGGATTAAGCTCATGAGCCACACAATGAAATTGTGGGAGAAAGTAATTGAGCACAGGTTGAGATTGGAGACAAGTATTTCTGAGAATCAGTTTGGTTTTATGCCAGGTAGATCAACTACAGAGGTGATTTATCTACTAAGGAGATTAATGGAAAAGTATCGTTGTAAAGATAAAGATCTACACATGGTTTTTATTGATTTGAAAAAAGCTTATGACCGTATACCAAGAGAAGTGCTTTGGAAAGCGTTAGAAAAAAGGGAGTACGGATTGCTTATATTAAAGCCATACGAGATATGTATGAGGGGGTAAAAACTAGTATAAGAATGCCTAGTGGTCAAACAAAGGATTTTCCTATAAAGATTGGATTACATCAGGGATCATCTCTGAGTCCTTATTTGTTCAACTTGATCTTAAATGTTTTGACGGAACATATTCAAGGGGAAATTTCAAAATGTATGCTCTTCGCGGATGATATAGTTCTTATAGCAGAGACAAGAGGAGAGGTTAATTGTAAACTTGAGTTATGGAGGAGGACATTGGAGTGGAAAGGTTTTCGTCTGAGTAAAAATAAGACGAAATATTTATATTGTAAATTTGGTAAAGGACTATTTGACAATAATTTGGAAGTGAAATTGGGAGATCAAATTATACCTCAAGTGGAAAAGTTTAGATATTTGGGAGCCATTATTCAAAATGATGGCAAAATCAGTGGAGATATTTCACATAGAATTCAAGCTGGGTGGTTTAATTGGAGAAAAGTTAAAGGAGTTATTTGCGATCGTAAGGTGCTTAATAAACTTAAAGGAAAGTTTTATCGCACTGCTATCAGACCGGCAATGTTATATAGTAGTGAATGCTTGGTTTTAACGGGACAGCAAGAGCATAAAGTTGGAGTAGCAGAGATGAGAATGTTACAATGGATGTGCGGACATACACGTAAAGATAAAATTCGAAATGAGCACATACGCGAAAAAGTGAGGGTGACACCTATTAAGGAAAAAATGGTAGAAAATCAGCTGAGATGATTTGGGCATGTACAAAGAAGACCAAGGGAGGCACCAGTGAGAAGAGTGGAACATATAACTTTGAGTCCGATTAAGAGAGGTAGAGGAAGGCCTAAGAGAACACTTTTGGAAGTTATTGAACGCGATCTTTTAATTAATAATATTTCTAAAAGCTTGATAAATGATATAGCACAATGGCGTCTTGCAATCCATGTAGCCGACCCCACCTAATGGGATAAAGGTTTGTTGTTGTTGTTGTTGTTGTTGTTGTAGTACAAATAAAATCTATTAATACTCAAACAAAGAAATACAAGAAACAAACAAATACAAGAAACAAACGAACAGAAATCCTTCATCATTTTCCACCTTACATAGTAATAAAAGGTGGTGAGTATTGATCAAAGATTGCAAGATCATTGGAAATACTATGACCTCTCTTAGAAAGAAGATCAATAATACTATTTGAATCTCTATTAATTAGGTTTACATAAACTAGCCAGCCTTTATGTAACAAATCAAAAGTGGATTTGGTGACACCTTTGAATAGATGGTGGTGGGAAAATTATCACAAAATAAGATTAACTGCCTGTGTAGTTACAATAAGCTTTGATCTTTCAAAATCCTCTCTCCCCCAACATATCTTAAGACTCTTCATAAGACCATACAATTTTGCAATGGTTGGTGGGCAAGAAGGTAAAAACTATTGCAGAAACCAAACATAGGTCTAATTTGTTCCCTTCACAATCCCACCACAAGCACTAAGACTATCCCCGGCAACATCTTGAGCTCAACAAGCAAATCATCTCATCTCTCTTCTATTGTTAACCTGAGCCATACAATGCGCATCCACCATTGCTTTTTGCAAAACTCTCTTAGCATCAATACACACATCAGCCTCTTCAGCATTGAAGACTCCGCCCCCCTCAAATTCCAAATTTCCCAACAAGTATATGAAAAGAGTATGAAATGCTTTCTAAAATATTTTCTAAGTTAAGATCTTGATGTTTGAGGCTATGACTTGTCTTTAATTGTATTCTACTTTCTATATGCAAATACAAGCTCTCAAAAATGATTTTTAGCAATTGAACTAAGAGAAAGCATAAATAATAAACTTATTAACATTAGGTATTCTCATGCTCTCTTAATCCTTTGCTCTCTTGATGGTTTTGCCATTCTCTTGATTTTATAATCCACACAAGCAACAAAACTTTCTCGTTTTGTAATCATCAGAACGAAGTATATCATGAAACACAAGCAAGAGTAGGTAAATATCTTGTGATGGAAAATTATGGTGTAGAGGTGGGTGAATCGTTAGATTCTGATAGTTGTCCCCTTTTTCTATTAGTTTCTATCAATATTGTTGCGTGGAATTGTAGAGGCACATCCTCAAAAATTTTAGTAGAAGCATAAAAGACTTATTGAGAGGGAGGAATGTGAGTTTCTTGATTCTTGTTGAAACCTGCGTTTGTGGTAGTCAAGCAAATTGAATTTGTGATAAGTTAGGCTTTAGTTACTAGATTCGGGTTGAGTCCACTACTTTTCTGAGGGGTATCTGGATTCTTTGGAATGATGAGGGCTATTTTATCATATATGTGGCATCGACTACCCATTATATTCACGTACAGGTTAAAGAAATTTGTTCTAATAAGATTGTCTGGGTTACAAGAATTTATGTTAAACCAAATCCTCATGCTAGACAAATTCTTTGGGAAGATTTAATCAATCTTAGCAAAGGTATGATTGGAGCCTTGTTAGCTATTAGTGACTTTAATGCTTATCTCTCAATAAGAGATAAATGTGGAGGTGTTGAGCCAAATGTCTCATACATACTTCAATTTAATAACTGTGTTTAGAGATCTTGTTTGCAAGTTGTGGATTGTGTTGGGGAATGATATACATGGGAAAGGAATCTACCTAAGGAGAGAATTGACTAGGCCCTTATGAATAACTTTTAGGCAAACCCTTTTCTTAGAACTTTGGTTCACCATCTACCTAGGTTTGCTTTGATCATAGAACAATCCTTGTGAGTACAGATTGGCTAGAACCATAGAGGAGGGGCACTCTAACTTTTTGATGCGAAGTTGCATGGATCTTAGAAGAGGGTTTTGATGAAGTGGTTAGAAACATGTGATCGTTTGGGGATTGGAATGGGAAGATTGTCTGTCACAGATTGGAATCAACATAAGGTGGGAAAGTTAATAGTTAAGAAAAATGGTTTATTGAAAAAAATCCAAGGAGTGGATAGGGTTGGCGTCAGGATAATCCTTTATTGGCTTAATTGGAAAAGAACTTGTGGAAGGAGTATAATAAGGTCCTTACCTAAGAGGAGCTCATTTGGTACCAAAAATCGAGATATAGCTGGCTCATATTGGGGGGATAAAAATAGTAAAGTTTTTCATGCATCCACTATTGCTAGAAGACAAAAAAGGATTGAAGGGTTGAGAAATGAAAATGATGGGTGGATATTCGACCAAGAGGAGCTTGAGAAAATGGTAGCCAATTACTATAGAACTTTCTTTACATGTCATACAGAGTTGAGTAATTTGTTGAATACTAGACACCAATTACCCTAACTTAACATATTAGAATTGGAAGAACTTCATCATGAGGTGAGCAATGAGGAAATTAAGGAGGTTACTTTTGATCTGGGATCTTTCAAAGCTCCTAGACAAGATGAGATACATGCTTTCTTTTATTAGGATTATTGGCACATCATTGGTAGGGATTTTATTCCTTAATTAAGAAGCTCTTGGCCACCTTTTGTTTGTAGATGAAATTAATGGTACTCATCTTATGCTAATTCTTAAAGTTGATGTTTTGGAGACCATAAAGGACTTTAGGCCTATTTCACCCTATAATGAAAGTTATAAGATTTTGTCTAAAGTCTTGAGTTGGAGACTAAGGAACATTATGGGTAAGCTAGTAGGTATGTGCCAATGCAACTTTATTGCTGGTAGACAAAGTAGTGACAACATTATCATTGCTCAAGAAGTCATACATTCTATGAAGTTGACAAAAAAAAAAAGGAATGATGGCGATTAAAGTTGACCTTAAAAAAGCGTATGAGTACTTAGAATGGGATTTTATCAATGATACCTTGCAATGAATTGGTTTATCTGAGTCTCTTTGCAAAATTATTATGGCCTATGTTAAAAGCTTATCAATGCAAGTGCTTTGGAATGGAAGCCTAGCAAAGGTGCTCAAACCTTTAAGGGGAGTGAGACAAAGAGATCCTATTTCCCCATATATCTTTACTCTATGCATGGAAAGATTGAATCTTGTCATTAATGATGCAGTGGATGAAACAGATTGGAAACTTGTCCAACTTGTTACTAGGGGTCCAAGGATCTCCCACCTATTTTTGCTGATGACTTGGTGTTGTTTGGTGAAGCTTCATCTGTGCAAGTTGATACTATACTTCCATGCCTTTAATCTTTTCTATGAAGCCTCTAGAGAAAAAATAAACAAAACTAAAACAAAGGTTTGCTTCTCAAAATCTATTCTCTTTTCAAGAGCTTATAAGCTTAGTTGCAAATTGGGTGTTGGCTTGACAAGTGATCCTGGTAAATTCTTGGGAATACCCCTCATCTATAAAAAGGCATCTTATGTTTTAATCATCCCAATCCTCAAAAAAACTCAAAGGAGGTTGTCTAGTGGGAAGGGTAGATTCTTGAATATAGCTGTTAGAATAACTTTGATTGGAGCAATCCTTTCTAGCCTCCCATCCTATCACATGCAAACAATGACCCTCCTAAAATGCCTTTTCAAGAGATAGAAAGTAGTCGAAACTCCTTTGGGGAGAAGATGAGGTTACTAGGAAAATTCATCTGATTGCGTTGGATGAGATTACTCGAGAAAAAAAGGAGGGTGGGTTGGGGATCAAGGCCTTTCGAAGACAAAATAAAGCTTTTTTTGATGAAACTTTGCTGGAATTTAATGTGCAATGAAAAGCATTATGGGTTAAAGTTTTAAGAAGAAAGTACAAATGCGGTAAGGAAAGTATGTCTTATGTTATGAAGAAACAAAACTCATCTTTCACATGGAGGGGTATCTATGAAGTTTGGGAAAAGTTCAAAGAAGAGTGGGAAAGAAAATTCGGAATGGTAAGTCTACTAATTTCTAGTTTCAAAATTGGTCATTGCTAAATGTCCTTTTAATTGAATTAGTTGCTAGTCCGGAGTAATATATAGATAAAAATGAGAAAGTCTCGGATTATGTGAATCAGTGGGGGTAGTGGAATGTTGAACAACTAAGCTCTTGGTTCTCGTTGAACACAGTTTTGTATCTAACCCATGCCCCCCGCCTAGTGAGGAGAGAGAAGAGGACAAATACTATTGGAAACCATCAACAGATGGTAATTTTATTGTTAAATAAGCCTACTCTTTTTTATCTGCGAGTACAAATGGGAGAGCTAATAGTATTTGGAAGATGTCGTGGAGGAGGCCTATCTTGGAAAAGATAAAATCCTTCATGTGGCTCTTTGCACATGGAAGGACTCACATATGAGTTGTGGATGAAAAGAGTGTTGAACTCTAGTTTTGATGATTATAAAATGGAGAAGTATTTATTTTGCAGATGATTTTGCATTTGAAGACTAAAGAAAATTTGGAGTGTAAGCTTAAATCTCTAATTTTCATCTTAATCTATATCCCTTGTCATTTTATGTCTCGAGATAAGTATTCAATTTATCTCAAATATCCTTGAACAAGATCAGTTTGTGGCTAATGTGTATTAAAATTTCTTCATACTAAGTTTTTTTTGTTCATATCGGTATGAACTACTTCACACTGGTATCAAGGATCTCATACTCCCTCTTTGTTGGCCATACTGCTATGAAACTGTCTTTTGTTCTTTTAAGTTTCTTCATATCAATATCATCATCACTGTTTGTTACTCCCATTTAAATTTTTTGTACTAATATGAACTACTTCATAGCTATATCAAATGTCTTCATACCTATGTGAACTTATTCATACTTGTATGAATTACTTTCCCTCAACGTGCTTTATGATTTTCACTTGGGTGTATGTTCATTCCTGCTCGTATGAGATTTAATCTTTCCTTTGTTTCATGTTTATTCTCATACCGGTATCAAGCTCTTTATTGTGATATGAAGTTGAAGTTTTTTGCTCTATTTTTCGCATACCAAAACAGAGTATCTTTTGTTCAATTTTATCTCATTCAATCCTTAATCCTTTTTGTTCCTTTCAGTTGTGTTCATTATTCTACCTGCCTTTAATTCTTTTAGACACAATCAAAGGTTTGAATTAACACTTTTCTCATTTGATATTTTCTCATACCTATATCAAAATTATCCTATGTCTCAATCCTTTTAACTTTTTGTTAGAATATTTAATACATATAGTCGTTATTTCTTTTATGAGGCTAGTAACACATAAACTCGCAGGAAAAGTACTGTTTTATTGCCTTAAAGGGTATAAATTATAGAGTAGTGAAGATGAAGACGCTAATAGCTAATTTATGAGTTTAATATATTTATTTCTAAGATCAACTATAAATACAACTCATTTATGAGGCGGAGAAGAAGAGAAGTTACTGAACCAACAACATGCATTAATTTTCTATCAACCTTATGCTGATACATTCATTATTTTGAAAGCTTCATTGATTGTATATTCACTCTAAGAGAGAGTTTTATTACAGTAGTGATTCATTATTGAATTTACTTGTTATCTTTATATTTCACTTTTGAAATAGAGTAGCTTAAGTTCGAGGAGCTTAAGAGGTTTAGTAATCATCTTTGTAAGGGAAAGAGTTATAGACTTAAGGAAGAGTTTGAATTGTACTGTGGGAACCAAGATTTTGGCTTAATCTCGGTGGAGTTAGTAAAAAATTTCAAGTGTATCTTAGAGACTGGAGGTAAATTCAAGTGGTTAAAATTGAACCAGGATAAGCACTCTATGCAAAGCCTCTCCTCTCTTCTCCTAGCTTTATTTGGTAATATCATTCTTCCTTTATAATTATATCTACTTAAATTGTTTTAATTTTTTAATTAGTCCAAAGTATCTCCCTTTTAGGTGGTTTTTATAGAGAGGCTTTATGATCGAGGAGAATTGTTCTTTTGGTTGCGAAGCCATTGAAGATTCAATGTACCTTATCCATGACTATTTGAACTCTCTAGACAAGTGAAAAGATGTTGTTAGAGAGGAATGTTGGAATTCTTTGGCTAACGTTACTAGTGTGGATTAGCTAAAATGGAATATGTAGAGGGAAGCATGCAAGAACTTCACTAAAAAGGTGAACCAGGCTATTTTATTTGGGTATATTTATTGGGATATTTAGGTGGGTAGATGCAAGAAAGCCTTTGATTTTGATACTACTCATTTTCATCTCATAGCCCACTCTAGTTTCCTTAGAGCTTTGGATTTAGACCTCCATAAGATGGCAACTTTCCTTTCATATGATAGAAAACTACCAAACAACAATCATTTGAGAAGAACCGATGCCTTTAAGCTGGAAGTCAATGGATTTGTGCTTAGTAATAGGAGCAGCAGGTGTGAGGGTTCCATTTAGGATAAATAGGGAATTTAGGTTCAAGGATTTAGTTACAAACTTGTTAATGCACCACCTGTGATTGCAGAACTTTTTGCCATTATCTAAAGCTGGGAATAAGGGTCAGGTTTGGAGGTTCTGTTTAAATAAGGGTTTGGGCTTTGAAAATGAATTTCTTTTTTAAAGTACTCGAGTTTGAGGGTTTGGCCTTGATAAGCCCTGTAAAAAAAGGCTCGGGCCCGAGCTGCCTTTTAAGCCCTATATTATTATTATTATTATTAATTTGGTGGAACATGTGTTTGAAGTCAATGACCTGCTCACCTGATTCTACATGCAATATATTATTATTAATTTTAATTTATTTTAAAATTAATTTAATATAATTTAATAAATATTAGTGTATAGTATAAAATTTATGATATTTTTTATTTTTCTTTAATTGTTATGTTTGTGTATTTATAAAAAATGAACTCTTTTTTAACCAAGAATTAAATTTTATTATTAGACTTTTAAATGTGTGTTGTTTAATTTCTAAAAAATTATGTTCAAAATATTTAGACTATTTAAAGCAACAGATAAGAAAAGCAAGTAGACAGATAGGGAAAGCAGGAAAACAAGTAACTGAGTTAAACAACAATAAACTTTAGGGATTAAGAAGTTCATATTATCTTTCTCTTAATATCATTTTTGTCAATTGTTAATTTACCTTTATTTCTTTTATAAATTTTATGTTCATTTGTAAATACTAATTCTATCATAGTAGTTATATTTATTGTTCTTGATCCTGGTAATAATTTTATTCCTCCTAATTTATGATATATTAATAAAGTTTTATTCATATTTTTATCAGCTTTTGAAATGCAAAAGTTAGTGTTTATTGTAAATTTTAGTTTTTGATATATTAGATTTTCAGTTAATATTCTTAAAATACTATTTTCAACACTATTTATTATTCTTCTATCAATTATTAATAATTCTATTGGTGAATTTCTTCTTTCTTGCAAATAAGCTTTTACTAATAATTGTACTCCAGCAATATATATTTCTGTTACTTCATCTTTAAATGATAATTTATTAATCTCAGCATCTATTAAAGCTTTACTTATTAAAGGTATTCTCCATATTCCTTCAATTTACTTATTAAAGGTATTTTCAATACTCCTTTAGTTAATGTTGATTTTATAGGGTGTTTCTTTTCTAATACTACACATGCATATTTTTCTTATTTCTAAGACTTCACAAGTTTTCCTACTTTATTCATAAAACTTTCATTTTTTTAATCCTTCAGGTTTTAAATTTAATTTTGAATTTCTTATCTTTTCATATTGTTTTTGATTAAAAGTAATTATTTTTTGAACTATTCCTTCCTCTGCACTTACAACTTCTTCATATTCATCATATTCATTTTGATTACTATTTTTAAGTTCATCTTTTAATCTATTCATCATATACATATAACCTATTTCTTCTTCTTCAGATTCACTATTTTCAAATTCACTTTTATTGACTATTTTTAAATTATAAATTTTTGTTTTTGAATTATTTAATTCATTTTCTATTTCAAATAATTCTTCATCATATCCTATAGGTTTTAAATTTTCTTTATATGCTTCTTCCATTATTTTTATAATTTTCTTATCCTTTTTATTTAGGCAATTAGGTGATATGTGTCCTAATTCTCCACAATTATAACATTTACATTTTTTAAGTCTTTTATTATAATTTATTCTTCTTTTTCCTTTTCTCTTGAAGAACTTTCTTGGTTTATACTTACTATGGTTTTTATAATATTTTTCTTTAGGATATCTTTTGAATTTTATTTTGAATTTTATTTTCTTCTTTTTCTTTCCATATTTTTCTGGTTTATATCCTCGTTTATGTCATTTCATTATTTCTCCACATCTTAATATTGTTTTGTTAGTTTTATAATATTTCATATTTCTCCATACAGTTCTACATTTATCGGTTATATATTTTTCTTAAAAATAATTCTCTTCTTCTTATAGTATCTATCTTATTTAAAACATTTATTGGACCTTGTCTTGTATCATCTATTATTTCATCTCCTTCTGAGGTTACTTTATAAGTGTCATAATAATCTTCTAATATTGTATCTGATATTAATTTTGGTAGTTTTTTATAAAATAAGTCTAAATATAATCTTTCTTCTTTTAAATCCTCTAATCCTGCTTCATAATAATATTTTTTTATATTCACATATAAAAGCATTTAAATATTCTGGTTTTAATGAACATAATTCTATTTCATGTAATATTTTTATTGCTTGTTTTTGTTTACTCATTTCATTTATATTCATATTTATTCCTCCAAATTCATTTAATGTTTTTATATATTTATCTATTAACATAGCATAATATTCTCTTTTACTATGATAACTTTTATTTAATCTTTTAAATTTTTCTCTATATTCTTGAGTTTTTTTATTCCATCAACTTTTTACATTTCCTAAAAATGTTGCTTCTATTAACATATTTGCAGTATTTATATCTATATTTTTTTGTATTAATACTATTAATGTATCTTTTCCCCATTCTTCTATTACTTCAATATTGTTTAAATTATAATCTAAATTTAATCATATTCCTGAATTTTATATTTGTTTACTTTCATATTGTGCTAAAGGTGTGGGGGTAAATTCATTATTTTTGGGTATATTGAATGTAGCCTGAAAAGGTATATTATTACATTTTTTATTTGAATTTATAAAATCGTTTTATAATATTGTTCTCTTTCATTCAAATAATGTTTACAATATTTTTTAACTTGGTTAATGCAACAAGATCTAGAAGGCATAGAAACAAGAATAGGAATAATAGTAACAATAAATGAATATATAGGAAGAGAAACTAGGATATATTATATGACCCCAATAACAAAAAGAAATCAAAGAAGATTTTTAATTTTTCTAAGTATATGCTTTTCAATAATAGAAGTATTAGAAAATGTTCCATAATGAATATCATAAAAACAATTGAACCAAAAATGTATGAAATAGAGTAAAATAAAATTTCAGAAAGTTTTTATATACCAGTAGAAAATTTAGCATGTATTTTAGTACATTTTTTATTAGGAGGAGAAGGAGATAGTATAAGTAATTAGGCACACTAGACAAATATGTTTTTAATGAAACAATTAGATTGTTATATAAATGAAAATATAAAAGATTTAGAACTTTTTTTTAATGAAAAAGAGATAATAAATATGTTACCAAAAGAAGTACAAATAATGTTAGAAAAAGAAAGTCTTAGAGAAAAAATGAAAAGATTTAAAGAATATACAAAACCTTTAGAACAAAAAATATATGAAATAAAGAAAGAATGTAATGAAAATTAGATGAAATAAAACATGATACAGAAAGACTAAGAACTGAGCAAAGTATGATAAGTCATAATATTTATAGAATAATGAAATATTTAGGAATAAACCCTCATAATAAATTAGAAGATGAATGGTCACAAATAAATATGATGAGAATAGTTGAAGATGAACAAATTATAAATGAAGAAAAAAAATAAGAAAACAAGATATGCATAAAAATATAAGACAAACGAGAATAGAAACAAAAAAAAAATAAAGAAAGGACAAGAGATAATGAATAATAATCTATAGTTTATACATGCGCAAATAAAAAAAATTAGAATTACAGATATTTGATAGAGAAAATGGAACAAATTATGCAAAGAAAAAAGATAAAGAAATAAAACAAAAACTAGAAGAAGAAATAGA